ACACACACACACACACACACACACACACACACACACACACACACACACAGAGAGATCATACGTCACATAATGTGCCAACAGAAACAAAAATACAGGAATGAGAATAGTGTGAGGGCTCTATTCAACCAGTGAGATAATTCTTCTTTCCTTTCCAAGTAATTCACAGTGCAGGTGCAGAATGCAGTGGGTGGGACATAGTATCTTGCTGACGGGGATTATGAAAGAGTCTACCCTATTATATGATTATTAATACCAAGCTAGAGCCCAATGAAAGCCATTCAAAGCACCTCCCTCTGGAAACGAGCTAACCAACCCCAATATAATATCTTTACTTGTAAAACGTAGCCTGAGAAATACAGAAATACTGCTTTAACGGAATGAAGTTGTTCTGTGTCTCAAAGTGTCAAACACAAAAGGAAAAGCGGGCTGTTCGCACCATCGTTTAAGTCCCTTCATTGCATGGACTCATTATTTTGCAGCTCCCTGAAAAAGGACCCTCATGAAAAAGCAGTCCATCCCCAAAAAGATAAATTAAAACAGCAAGACAACAAAAATCATGGCCGTAAAAAAGTCAATACGCTGTCCGGCACAATTCATGTCTCTCCGGCCGACCATCCAGATGGTAATTAATGAAAAGAGGGCCAGCAATGCACTTAGTGTGTAGCCACAGTGACAGTGGAGAGGATTCGATAGACATAGATCAGTGAAAGGTGCTGATCGCTCGTGGTCCGACTACGCGGGACACAAAGGAGCGCTCGTGTCCCGCAGGCGCTTCATCTTAGTTCATATCCCGACTCCAATGGGCCAGCCTGGGTTATGGCCCTCTGGGGACCTGAGCAAGATTACTGTGATCGCTCTCACGCACTGAATGCACCCCTCTGGAATCGCCACACAGACACACATACACACATACACACAGACACTTCAACATGCTGTACACAGTATAAACACACTCACTGGCACATGTTCTTACCATTGAGAAGGATCCAAGTCAATGGTCATTTGTCTTCAGTAAGAAGAACAAGAAAACCGGCTACAAGAGAAAACACACCAGAGTTACACTACATGGTTTGTTTGACTGCCCAATAGACTATAACAGACATGCTATTTAAACAGTTACCTTGTGGTCTCCCATACAGACATTAGGACCCACTGTGTTGTAAACAACGCTCTTCTCGCCGTCATCGCCCTAAAAAGAAGAACGGTTCTTTCGTAACACAGGAAATAAAATGTGGCATTCAACATGAACTTCTATAACTTATTTTAGTTGAATTTTCGCAATTGAATGTCACCTGCATGTCTGAGTGTTGTTAGATGTTTTAAAACGAAGTCAGCTGGAAACCTTTGTTGGCTTTATTAGCTAGCGTGTTACAGCTGAAAATCAATGGTGACCGGCTACAAATAAGAAGCCCGTTTTGTCTGGCAATATTCAATCAGTCTTTAGTGGTAAATCTGTCACCGTCTTTATAACGTGCCGCGTGAGAAGCTTGACGTAGCAACGGTACCTATGGGGCGTAGTGCTTAGAAAGGTAAGAGATATAAATATGTTGACGCTTCATTTGGATAGATAATGTAAGAGCTAATAATACAACCTATGGTTAGCATTTAAGATAAATGACACTAATCTTAAAATGAAGTCGCCAGTCATGTGAGAATGTAAATATTGTTTGAACAATGGCAGAAAGGTCCACCAGTCACTTAGCCTTATCTGACAACAAATAACCGTTTGGGAAGTTGCAGTCTTGTATTAAACTGTGTATATACAAACCGTTTAACAGAGAATAGTTTCTGCACTTTGTGTGACGACAGCTAACCTGAAGAAAATTATGAATATAAGCTTTAAATACAATGATAGTAGCTTTGACTGACTGACCTCGTGGATGAATTCTTGGGCAGTGTGCGACATGAGGACGCGATCACACCAGGCAGGACAGCGAGTGTTCATATACTGGGTCGGTTTAGTGTACTCCTCACTGTAGGGGTAGCTGAGAGAGAGAGAGACGTTGTATTTAAAGGATGACAACAGAGGTGGGAGTTTACACACAGTATGTTGCAGCATGTAGCTCTGTTACCTGGGTGGAAACTTGATGTCTTCTTCCTTAATAACATCATGAAAGGCTGCGACTTCTTTGTCGTACTTCAAAAGCTGAGGGACAGAGGCCATTACTGATTAGCCATACAGGAAATCTCAACACATTAAAAACCAACGTGATGTGAGTGAGTACAGCTTAAGCACGGGTGAAAACCCAGTTTACTGTCAAAGTTATCACAGCTTTGTTTACCTCAGACTTTTTCTATTTACTCTACTGTCATTCATATGACTGTATTTCCGCTGATAGGCCTTAATCTAAAAACTGTGAAGACATGCCAGATAGTTGCCAAGCAGCCTGTTGTTTTTGTTGAGTTTCCCTAAAGCTGTGGTGTCGCTCATCCATGTGGGTGAAAGGCGAGTGCCCTCACCGCTCTGCCATTGTCCTCCCTGAAAACCGCCTGGTGCAGGTAGGCAAACAGCTTCTCCTCAATGCGGAGCAGCACCTGATGGTAAGATGAAAGCAGGTTGAAGTGAATGCAGCACCGAAAACAAAATGTCAGTTGTCTTAACAGAGCTGGTTTAATCACCTGGTGGTCATTGTCTTTTTCTTCGCAGATGATCTTCTCCACTTCATTACTGCATTCCTTCTTCACTGTCTGCACATCTGCCGCTGTGGACAGATGCTGCTCACAGAAACACAAAGACAAGAAAGGGTCTATGTCAGTATGTCAGGCTGATACACATCCTCATCATCTGAGCTTCAGGAAAGAAGTTGTTACATACCTGGACCACACTAAGTGTGTCAAGACGGAAGTTGAAATCTCCAAACAGGATGAAAGGCAGAAGAGTGTAGCGGCTGTCTGATATCCTGGAAGGAAATAGCACTGTATTGCACAGATGTTTGGGTCCAAATGTGTATACAGATTCACATGAATATCATATTATCTTCAGAATATTCCAAGTTTTTGTACGATCTTGAAATATCCTTTTTACATGATCGCATTAGCCAAGAATGTTACAATATACTCCAATCATAGAGGTCACTCAGTCAAGCAAGGAGTCTTAATAATTGTTCTTTGGTTTTGACTCAGTGTGTGTTTGCCGTCATCTTGAACAATTTACAGCCATGTTTTTTTATTTTTCATAGTTGTGTGCAGCTGGAAGTCCGACCTGTTGATGACATATCTGAGAGCGTTTTTGCGGTTGGCTGAGTAAATGGACGGACTGGAGTTGCAGGCAACGAGGTTGGACGCATCGTGGAACAGGTGGACATTGACCAGGTCCAGAGCTCTGTGAGGCACACACAAACACACAGACATAATATGGTGATATTTGGCAGGTGGAGAAGGAAACAGGAAACAATTAGATAACACGATTGCCCGACATCTGATAGGTGAGTGTGTCTGCCTGTACGTGTGCCAACACGGGTGCCAGTTATGAGGAGCTTTCTTATCGGTGAGTGCGTCGGTGTTAATGCTGAGTCCACAAACAAGCACATTTGTCTATTGTGCCGAGCGTTCGCTCTTTTTCTTTGGCTGTCACTGGAAAACAATTAATGTGCATCCAACAAAGGCCGACTGGGTTGACTCACAGCATGATCTTGTGGCACACAGATTGTGGGCTCCTTTTGTTATTACCCCCAGGTGACAACCTAGCAGAGCAAATAGTGACTACAGTTCCCAGGAAACACAGAGAGCTGGAGCAGCAGATTTATCCTGGTTCAGTTCAGAGCCATATTTAGCTTACTTTACTTCAATTCAGTAGTTTCACAATATACATTATAAATATGCATTTTTTGCTACTGTTCTTATACAAACAGAACATTCAGTATATGGTCTGGGTCAGCAGCAGGGCACTATGCTGCATTGGCTATGTATATGAAATAGGTAATCAATTTTAATTGGACGGTTTAGTCGAAAAACGACATGAATAATTTCAAAGTTGTTGAAACATCCACAGAGGGACAACCCAGATGAAAATGGTGATTGGGGTGTTGTGAAAACAGACGGTGTGAGTTTGAACTACTGCAACAGCGCTGAGTAATTGTTTCTGAATGAGAACTGAGAGCTCAGACAAATTGTGGGTCGTAAGATCAAAAAAATAAGCTTTAAAACACAAAAATGCTGTGTAGAGCTGATCTGAACTGCAGAATCGTGTGATCCACTGTTAATACAAAAATATTAATAAAATAAAAATTTATGAATCTCAAATTAAGGTGTGATAATTCTATTTTTTAATGAATATCAAAAGTGTAGTGTATTTGCACTAGTATTGAAACATTTTGAACAATACCTAGCCCTCCTCTGGGGTTGGAAACCCAAAGGAAAAACAGACTGTCTTTAGTTTGATGCGACTAAATCATTCATGATCTCCCTTTCTTCATTTCTCATTTTGCAGAACTTTGACAGCTGCTGTATCAAACAAGGGTTTCTTTGTTTTCATGCATCAACGGCCGACAACAGATGAACACACACTGGTAGCAACCTGCCTGGTCACAAGAGAGCTCATTTATCAGAACAAGCTTTTCCAATAACTGGATTTCACAAAAGTCAGCTAACAACCAAAAGTGAAAGTGAGTCGAGTCCAAGGCTGACTTTATTTTGTAATCATGGTGTGGTTCGTGCACAGTACGTACTGGTCGTGTATAATCCAGCGGGTCCTCATGAAGCCCTTTCTGGACCACTTGAACTGCAACAGAGACAAATGAGAGTGAGTCACTAAACAGCAGTAAGCCGTGTCTTTGAAGGGCCAAACTGATAATTATTGATTCTTTCACATAATTTGTCTCATCTCCCTGTCAGAGCGGGTAGACAGCCCCTACAGCCCCAGTAGACTCATTTGTCCCAACATCTCCCTTTGGCCCTCACGTACCCCTCCCCACACACTCACGCACACACAAATGTAGGCATACACAGATGCACACTCGTGCATACATACTCACATCAGGCCAGAAATTCTTTGGGAATTTTTCTTTCTCCACTGTGGCGACCCCATCCAGAGAGCCCACATGCTTGTTTTGTCCCGACACTGCTTTAAAATCCTTAACTGTGTGGGGGAGAGAGAGAGAGAGAGAGAGAGAGAGAGAGAGAGAGAGAGACGGGTGGGGGAGGGGGGGTATGACATGTAAAAGAGTGGGAAAACATGCAAACAGCAATCAATAAACTGGTGTTAACCTCATCAGAGCGGCATACGTGATGAGAGGATCTATAAGCAAGCCATTAGACTGTGTTTGGTGAACAACAATTGGTTTGGGCCACACAGCGAGTGGCAGCTGCAGGATGTTTATGGTTCTTCCATAAGCTTTTCTGAGGAGCTTTTTCACGCCTAACGTGACTGGACTATGCAGCAGGAAAATAACGGCTCCACTTTAAATTCAGGTTCTTTGCAAATATCTGGCCAGGAAGTGTGGGCCATCAAACTGTCATTATACAAATAGAAATGTCCGGAAGATCCTGATAAAGAAAATGACAAGAATCTTGCCAATCGTCTGCAACACTGCTCTGAATCCATTGAGTACAGGATGCAAGAGGAAGGGTTTGTGTTGAGACCTAAAATTATCTTTTTTTTTGCCAGCTGACAAATAATAAAATGATAGAAAATCATTGCAAACGTCATGCATAAGGAGTAGAGATGCACCGATACTGATATCGGATATTGGTCTGATACTGACTCAAATAGTTGGATCAGGTATCGGTGACTATCGGCACAGCTGGTATCGGATTCCATTATTTCAATAAATGACAGTTCTGTAAATTTATATCTGTGTATATATTTGTTACATTTTGGATGACAAAGTTAGGAAAGCAATGTTTAAGTCAAGCCTGATGTTTCCTTCCACATAAAAGAATGATACCAGTCACTTCCACACAGTGAGGCTTACATCTTATTAATTAAACACTCGCCACTGGCAGATACGCAGGTATCAGGACTGACAAAGTTGGATCGGTGCATCACTGATAAGGAGTAAAGTTTTTACCATTAAAATCATACTGATAGATGTTTTTCAGTTTCTTGTGTATGAAGTACAAGCTCCCCAAAGCCTGCGGAGAGAGAGAGAGAAATAAAGAACAGCAGCGTTACAACAACAACAAAAGTTATAATATGTGATGATATTTCTACACTGTGCTCTCTCAAATAAAGGTGAAAATGACTCTTTTAATGTCGTTGCAGACACTTGCTGCATACAACAGAAGAAAATCCATGTTTAGTCCAACAAAGGTGCCTGGAATTGAGCCTTATACACATATTCCCATTTTCAATATTGCGGCATTAAACTTCATGAAACTGAGGTATTTAATAGTTTTAACCAGAACACTTGAGCTCGGTCTGATCCATTAAGAGCGGTTCCCCAACAGCGATTCACAATGAAACCTAAACATCACAATCATCTTCTCAACTCAACCTCTAAGATGATGAATTGAATTGTTCATTTCCCCATCGTGTGAGCCTCGTATTGAATGATCTGCAGTATATAGTTACTCTACCATGGACACATGAAACTTTAAAGAATAGAGACGTTCAACGTGAACACATAACTGCACCACACATTCACATACTCCACCGCCACCCCCCATCATACACACACTTCAGCACCCAATCATCCTTGACATGGGGCTGACAATTTTTAATGTACTAACTGCCTGCTCCACTGATCTGATTAATCATGCCCTGTGAGATCAATAAAGACAGAAAATTAAAACAATTTAAAAGGTATTAAGCAGTAGGCCTGCTGTCTGCCAACGCTGCCACTGTGACTGGGGGCCGAAGAAAAATCAGCTGGCGCTCAGAGGGCTCGGGGCGTGACGGACCACTGTGCACTCACAAACATCTACCCAGAGCATGAGAGATCTCTCCCTGAAGAGATCATTTATCATCAGTGCCAAAGTCATCCTCATTTAATAAAATGGAAGTGTCTCCGTGATCGGCTCCAGTGAGCGGCAATTAGTGACCAACTTGTCCAAACTAAGGCTTGAGTCATGGCGTTATTTGACCGTGTCTGATAGGGTAAGTAACTTAATGCTGAAAAAAAGAGAATGTTTCTGAGAAGCAAGTTGAATTTCTTTTTATTTCAGTTTTACAATCAGCGCAAAATTACGATTTTTAGGAGGATTTAATGACCGTATTCTGATAATTAGCTCAGGATAACTGTTCTATATATTTTTCAGAGTTTATGTTGAATCCCACACACACAAACACACACACACACACACACACACACACACACACACACACACACACA